GGATTCTATGATTCTATGATTTTTATGCTGTTCACTCTATGCTGTCTTAGTTTGTCCCTGCTGTTTGTGTTCATCCTCCCTGTAGGGACTGAATTTCATGCATATGCTGCCCTTGTTGCTACAACAGTAAATCTGATTGTTAGGACAGAACAGGCTACTACTTCTCACTGTTTCATTTACCTAAAAAGTATCTTAGGTATTCCTTAACTCAGAGTAAAAATGCACTTCCTTGTAGGAGGTTTTGATTTGAATGAGGAACCCCTAGACATCTGAACTTCTTACATGGGATCCCAATTAAACCATGCCTAGAACTGATGGGGATTGTAACTGTTGGCAAGTAAAATGCTTCTACAGTGCATGTGTGCTGACTTTCCACCACATGTGTTTGTGGAATCCCTGCGGGTGTCTGACAGCAGAGCTTTTTCTGCCACTGCTGAAGAACCGTGCCAGAAAGAGACACAGCACTCATGGAGGAAAGTGGAAGGAGCATCAGAATTAACCAGTGAAAGCAGCAGTATCTGTAGGGTTAGAAGAAAGCCTGCAGTAGCCTGGAGATTTACCTTTATCTGCCTCCTGGGAAACTACGTAACCTATTTTATGATAATCTTCAGAAACATCTATCTGATTAACCATCTTTAAAGTCCAAGAAATAAAATCATTTTGCATACGTTGTCTTAAAAATGTATCAGAGCTCTATTTTGTGTCCTGGAGGTCACACAGAAGTGACAGATCTCAGTGTGAGTCTGTAACTTTGTACCTAGCTGAACTCCTTTAATTGTTAAAGTGATCTTAGAAGTTTCTGACATAATATAGGTAATCTCTAAAACATGCTTATAAAATCACGTTTTTCACTTTCAGACAACTTTTCTGGTGGATAACAAGAAGGTGTTTGGCACTCACCTCATGCAAGACATGGTGAAAGATGCTTTAAGGTCTTTTGTCAGTCCACCGGTACTTTCTCCAAAGTGAGTGAGTCCCGACTTTCTTTGTATGTCAAGTCTGATAGGATTGTTGGGTTTTTTTCTGCTTACAAAAGCAAAAGCAGACATGTAAAGAAGATGTAAGTTTTGTATTTGTTAGTGCTTGTGTATGAAGGGATCAGTTGCTGCTGCTGTGCTCGTGTTTCTGTTTTAATTTTGTGCAATGCAGACCAGTGACCTCACTAAATGTATGTATGTGTGTCTGGATATTCCCTTTTAGGTGTTGTCTTTATAATAATCACCAGGCAAAGGACTACATTGACTCCTTCGTGACGCACTGCGTTCGGGTAAGCGGTCGTTCCAATTACATCATCTTTATGCATATATAAGAACTTCCAAAATTTGCCTACATTTGAAAATTAGACCAATTTCCTTTGACGCCTGACATGAAAGCAAAATTGCAGAAGCTGTCCATCTGAAAATGGGAACATTGTTTGAAAAAAGCTAGTGTAATTACTGATGTTTGTTTCTTGTATTAGGCTTCCAGATTTTTCACTAACATTTCAGTTTATTAGAAATCTGCACTTAACACCTCCTCACAGGATACTTTCATGTCACAAAGCAAAAGCATAGCACTAGTAAAAGCAAAATTACTTTTACTTTCTCTCCAGTATACAATCTTTAAATGTTGTTTTGAAAGAATGTTATTGAATGTGGCATAATAAAAATCTGAGAAAACAATCAACTCACAGAATCAGGGATGTTGGAAAAGACTTTTAAGATCATCGAATCCAAGATTAACCCCTTACTTCCAAGGCACCACTAAACCATGTCCTTCAGCACCACATTTGCACACCTTTTAATACCTCCAGGGATGTTGACTCTACCACTTCCCTGGGCAGCCTGTTCCACTGCTTCATAACCCTTTCCTTGCAGAAATTTTCCCTAATATCCAGCCTAAACCTCCCCTGGTGCAACTTGAGGCCATTTCCTCTTGTCCTATCTCGTTACATGGGAGAACAGACTGACCCCCACCTCATTACAACCTCCTTTCACATAGTTCTAGAAATCTGTAAGGACTCCCCTGACCTTTCTGTTCTTTTGGCTAAACAACCCCAGTTCCTTCAGCCACTCCTTTTAAGATTTGTTCTCTAGGCCTCTTACTGGCTTTGCTGCCCTTCTTTGGACACACAGTGTCCTTCATGGAGTGAGGGGTCCGCAGCTGCACACAATACTCAAGGTGTGGCCTCACCAGTGCCAAGTACAGAGGGACAATCACTTCCCTAGTCCTACTGGACATGCTGTTTCTTATAGGAGCCAGGTGCTGTTGGCCTTCTTGGCCACCTGAGCATGTAAATTTAGGCACAAGACATACCTGTCTTACTCCAGGCATTCTATTCTGATCAGATTCCTAAAGGATACTTGCTCAGTCTCATGTTGACTTGTGTACAGAGAAATGGGCTCCTGCATCACTCCAGAGAGCTTGCTTGCCTGCCAGCTTGCACTCCATAGCAAGCCTTAAAGAACCCATCTTCTAATATAGATGTCTATTTAGGCACCTGTTTTATACATTGTAGTGCTCTTCTAGTTTCAAAGTTCTGTTGAAAATGTAAAGCTATGCTTGGTTTCTTTCAGCCATTCTGTAGTCTGATTCAAATCCATGGACACAATAGAGCTCGTCAGAGAGATAAACTGGGTCATATTCTTGAGGAATTTGCCACCCTCCAGGATGAGGTATTGTCCTAGGCAACAGGCTGGTCAACTTTTATTTCCAGGTATATTCCTACCAGGGTGGTATTGGATTCTAGATTCATGAAGCAACTCCTCTGTTCTAAAGCCTTTAGGACAAGGATTCCTAACATGCAGTCTGTGGGATGCATCCAAATATTTTCTGTCAGATAAGCTGAACAAGAAGGAATTACATTAAGATTAACTATTTCTAGTAAATAAACTTGAGGGAAACCTGCTGTGATGTCTGTAATTTAATGGTAATTCCATTGCTTGTGTTTGTCCTGCTTGTAACTGTCAGTCTGCGAGACGTAATCAGGGAGAGGTGGATGACCCATATTTGCAAGACATCTTTGAAAATTCAGTTTTACAGCTACGTAAGATGTAAATTGCAAAATTTTATTCAGGTTTTGTTAATGCTTAATATGTGGTTGAACTTGGATGCTGTTTCATTCAAATGTTCTTCCTCTTGTGTTACTTTGCTCTCTTTTTCAATAGGCAGAGAAAGTAGATGCAGCACTTCACAGCATGCTACTGAAGCAGGAACCCCAGAGACAACACTTGGCTTGCTTGGGCACCTGGGTCTTGTACCATAACCTGCGTATTATGATACAGTATCTCCTGAGTGGCTTTGAGCTGGAACTTTACAGCATGCATGAATATTACTACATATATTGGTAAGAGGATGCTTCATTGCAAGCCTTGGGAGGAGGGATGCTCCCACAGAGCTATAATGGCAAACATTTAAAGGAGGGACTTCAACAATGATTTGTTTTCTTAATCTCAAGCTTGCTCAACACAGTGTTTAGTTTACCTATTCATAACATTACAAGTACAGAAAAAAAAAAATCTGTTGATACCTTTTCTAGACTTACTAAATAGTGTACCTTTTTTCCCCTGAAATAGTAACTTGCTCTCTGATTCGGTGTTTTAAAAGCGTCTTCTAATGACAATGAACAGAAAATAGGCTGATGTTGGCAGATGAGAGAATGCAGGAGGAAAGTAATTTCCATTTTTATTTTGTGTCGTTGTAATACCAAGTTAAATAGTATTGTAGATCTCGAGTATTTTCAAAAAGATCTCCAGGGTCTTAAGTTGTGACTGTGATCTGAAAGCTGCTGAGGTAAAAATTAACAACTTACTCTTTGAGCACATGTGAAAAAAAATCTGCCTTTAGTGGAAATGATTGCACTAGATGAAGTCAAAATAATTTTCATTTCTCCACTTCCGTTCACATAAGTTAGTTTTTACAGCTGATGGTTTGGTCCAAAAGATGTGTTAATTTAGATGGTTCATTTTTGATTCAGCATTAAAAATTTGATGCTTTGAACCTCCCTATATTAAAGTGCTCTGTATCTTGGTGTTTTGGTTTTTTTTTTTTGGTTTTTCTGTAAAGCTACCAAAAAACTCCTGCCAGGTAAGCTGTGAACCATCTTTCTGAGAGGTTAGACCAGTTCAAAAGACTTGAGCTTCAGTGCCTCTCGTTATGTTTCATTAGTGGATTAAGCATGAAGTGAGAAAACTAATATTCCAGATGGTTACCAGAATATTCTTTAAGTAATACCCCAAAAAGTAATAACAGGTTTTCTGTAAGGTGGTATGTTTTACCTGCCTGTAATTCCTCCCATAACTGTAATAAAATTACTCTTAAATGGATTTTAACGTACGTTAACTGCTTTATGTCCTTGCTGTAATTGAAGAACAAAAAAGAGCGGAAATTTCTGAGGGCAGATGCACAAACGAAACTCATCATTTCTCAGTAATTTTTCTTCTGAATTATGACTTCTTTTGAAATATTATTTCTTTATGTGTTCTAGATCTGTAACTTCTATTCTCTTTTTCACTTATTCCTTTTGATTTGAAGTCAGTGAAGAGATTTATTGGACCTGCTTCTGCTTACTAAGAAATTACTCTGAGAGAATTTGTGAAGATTTCACTTAAAGAATTGCATGTGGATCTCATGTTCCTTTGGGCTTGGCCCTTTTATTTAATAATTCATGGCTTTTTAATGCTAGAAACAAATCAGTGATAGCCTTGTTTCTCAAAACAGTAATTCCTAACAAAAGTAGAAAAGGTATTAATGTAGTATGTTTTTAAGAAATGCTTCATTTGATGAAGGAATGAGGAATTCTAGCAAAATTTGATCTTACACGAGCTTTGAAATAGTAAGAAGCTTAGACTTTGCTTAGTGACTGACTAAGAAATTTGTATACCTTGAGCGGTCTATAGTTGAATCCATGCAAAAGAAAGAGTTTTAACTGCCCTAAAAGTTGCATTTTACTGTGGGTTCCTCGAGTCAATGAGTTGTCCTTCAGCAAGGAGGCGTGGGTTGTGGATACGTTTTGCAGGGCAGCACCTGGCAGCCACGCCCTGTCTTTGCCGTAGGTATCTGTCAGAGTTCCTCTACGCCTGGTTGATGTCAACGCTGAGCCGCGCCGACAGCTCTCAGATGGCAGAGGAGAGAATAATGGAGGAGCAGCAGAAAGGACGTAGTAGTAAGAAAACGAAGAAGAAGAAAAAAGGTATCTGGGTGTGGAGTGTAACGCAGATCTTTCTTTTTTTCCCTTTGCACAGCCATGTAGAATTAAATTCAAAATGTTCATGGGACTCCTAAGTGTATCTTGAGATACTCTGTGTAATCAGGAGCCAGGTCCATGCTTTCTAAGCTTCATAGTTTTTAAAATTATTTCAAGGTATAATTGAGAATTATGTCACTGAAAATTCAGAACAACCACTTTGATCTGAGATTAATACATGTACTTATGCTGAATAATGAAAAAAATATTTTTCTGTGGAATTTGCAGTTCGCCCTCTCAGCAGAGAGATCACCATGAGTCAAGCATACCAAAATATGTGTGCTGGGATGTACAAGGTAATTTATCTGTGCTTGCTGAACAACATTTTCATTTTTTTGTAGCAGGAATTGAGCATGCATTGCATGCCTTCTTTGTTTTTAGTCGGAAGTTAAGTTCAAGTTTATAATGGGGTATGTTAAATCCTTTACTATTTCTCTGTCCTTCCAGTTACAGCTAAATGGTGACTTCCATCTTGCTTACAGCAGAACAGGACACAAAGCTAACACTTCTGACCGTATTTATCCTTTGCTTTTCAGACAATGATTGCGTTTGACATGGATGGCAAAGTGAGAAAACCGAAGTTTGAACTGGATAGTGAACAGGTTCGGTACGAGCACAGGTTTTCTCCATTCAACAGTGTTATCACACCACCCCCAGTGCACTACTTGCAGTTTAAAGTGAGTAATCTTATAACACGGTGCTACTCATGCTCTCTTAAAAGTCATTTGCTCACCTGCTTGAGACGTTGTTTTTGCTGTTAGAAGAGCCTTTAGTATCTCAGAGTTCATACTGAAGCATGTCAAAATAGTAAGGCGTTCTAGCTTTAGTTGTGTGCAAGGAAAATACATTGCTTTGAATCCTTAGTAAAATGAGACTCTTAGATGTTTAGAAATTGAGCCCCTATGAGGCTTGTCCAGTTTGTAATAAGAACAGTACGTTTGTGGCTTGTATTAAACTTGGTGTTCACAGTTATCTTGCTACACGCCCAGCTGGTTATTAGCTTCTGCTGATTTGTGGGGATATCCTGCATCAGATGCAAAATTTGGACATTTCTGGTTGTACCTAGATTTCTGACATCCAGGCTTTTCAAGTTTCTGAATGTCTGTCTGAACTGAAACTATTATCTTGTATGCCAGTCACTCTTCCTAGTTTAGTGTCAGGAACAGTTGTAGTAGAAGTGAGGATTATCATGGCTTCCTCCTTGTCATTGAAGGGTTTCTTTATCCCAAATTTAAAAATAGTTGGAAGGATCAAAATAACATTGAAGTTTTTAACAGTTTTAGTATCTCACTTGCTGTAAACTTGCTTTGATTAAGCAATATTAAATACCTTTTCCCCTCCTATGTAATTTCCTGTAATTTTGCACCCTGCTGCATGGCAAATTTGCCATGAATATACATGAATGGCAAGTTGTTCAGCAGAGGAATTGTTTTATAAAGAGTATGAGAATTTCCTTCCGTTTTGTGGCCCTATAAAATAATAGTTAGGTGCCTTATTGCTACCTGGCATTTGCCATTTCAAATAAATGTCTTCAATTTCAGTATTTATTCTTGAAATACTATTTAGTAGACAGAACTTTTTTCTTGACTATAGTAATTTTTTTTTTTTATTTCAGGTGATAAAGATAGAATTTGTTGGCAACTGGTTTTAATACATATTTATATATTTCTTTAACACACTAGGAAATGTCTGACCTAAATAAGTACAGCCCACCTCCTCAGTCATCAGATCTCTACATGGCAGCAAGCAAACACTTCCAGCAAGCTAAAATGATTCTTGAGAATATTCCTAATCCAGACAATGAGGTAAGACTGAAATAATGGGAAAAGAAGGATTTGCTCATAATAGAGTGCTTGTTTTCAGCTACATCAATGTGAGATCCATAGTGTACTTTGTCAGAATGCTGAGCAAAGCTGAGTGCTTTGACTGAGGGGTGGATGCAGGTGGCATTTTACAGACGTCTGTTTCACTACTGTTAGCTAAGATCATCAGGGTTATGCTCACTGGTCCAAAACCTCTCCCTGCTGAGTATTTTAGAGGCTGGATAGCAACTTACTTCCTTCTTACATGTTGCCTTCTGGCCCTGTTATAAAGTGTGTCAGTTTTAACAAGATGATGCATGCCTGCCTCACATACTGGAGCCTGGCAATCCACCTGTACACCTGAGAGGTGGGAAAACAGGTCTGCACGTCATCAGCCTGAAAGGAGGATTGAGTCTGCCACATGTTTCCTGGAGCAGTTCTGTCAGCACTGGGCTGTAAACACAGAAACTTCTCCCTCTTTGTCCGTAGCCTACAAACCAAGTGCCTGTGACTACTTCAGAGCAAGGTGGATGCTTATTCTGTCCCATGGGAGCAGGTTAAGGGCAGTTACAGGATTAGGGTCTCCGAAGAATGTAGGCACAGGGCAAGAATCACCCATTCTCTGGATGCTGGTGGTACTCACACATGAGTGGTGAGAGTGAGGCTAACCAGGACAGTGAGAGGTAGCTTGACAGTGCCCGGAGCACTTCCATCCAAAAAGCCACCACTGGTTTGATGCTCGAGTTTCACCTCCTCATGGTGTCAGAGTTTGTGAGGGTAAATGCCCAGAGTCTGTCTAAACCTTTGTGTGGGCGAGTCTCAGAACTTGCTGTAGTTTAACAGTTCTTGGACATAAGCATGGAGAGATGTTGTTTTTATCACTGTTGTATAAAAAAATGAGAATAAATGCCCCCTTCATTAAATTTCATCAGTCTTTCTAGCTGGTATACTTCAAATCCAGAATGCCCTCATCTCTGCTAAACTGACACTGTAAGAGGACTGCAGTACTGCTAAGAGCATGTAAACGTTTGAGTATAATTGAAATAATTTTGAGGTCATACACCTTCACTCGAAACCTTGTTCTTCTGCGTTTAGGTCAATCGAATTCTTAAAGTTGCTAAACCCAATATTGTGGTCATGAAGTTGCTGGCAGGAGGCCACAAAAAAGACTCCAAGGTAAGAAAATGCCAGTTGAACTGCACAGGTAGCGCAGTACTGCCCACTGTGCTACCACAGGTCTGCTGGAGCCCAATGAGCAGTTCAGGCCATCGTTACGGTAACCCTTGAAAGAACTAGGAAAGTAACCTAATCCCTTTTTCCCTTTGGAACAGTTTGTTGTTACTAAATTCAGTAGTACTGCTGTGTGATGGTTTAAATCCTTTCTTTCTAGGTTCCTCCAGAATTTGACTTCTCCCCTCATAAATATTTCCCAGTTGTGAAGCTTGTTTGAAAGACAAGAGATTATTGCTAGGATACCTGGAGCATAATTTATGTGTCAGCTGTAGGATGGAATATGTAGTGTGGTACCCAGATGTCCTGAGAGGGATCTCCAGGAAAAATACCTGTAGTCTGCTGCCTTTGTGTGCTCTGAATGATAACTGCTGTTTTAAAGTGGTTTTTGTTAAAGTGCCACAGGTGTAGCTGATTTTTACTGAATTGTTGAAGAATGTTGTATCTTAATTGCTTTATTACAGTTTTAATCATAATTAATTTTTATGAATGAGCTTTTACAAAATTTGTGACTGAATAAAAACAATGCAGTAGAGTCTCAGGTTTGACTGGCACAGATGAGCTACTAAAATTCTCCTTTGACCAAAACCACGTGGAGAGACCGAGTTTCCATTTTTTTTGCCTAAATTGCATCAAATTTGCTCACTTTGCAAGTAGAAAGACTGGGTTTTCTTACCAAGTCCTGCAAGTTAAACCAGTCTTTATAGGCAGATGAAAACTGAGCATTTAGCTTCTCCTGCAGCAAATTCAGAGATTTTTGTTTCACTCAAGTCAGTTGTCTAGGATTTACTTTTGTCTCAAGTGTGGAAGTCCTTAAAGACAGTGAGAAATGGAGTAAGTTATTTCTAGTTCCAGTTTGTTCCCTTTGCCTTGTTTAGCTAACACTGTACTAGTTACCAGTGACACAGGAACACAAGAGACTAGGAGTGTATTTTAACTGCTCTGCAACTTGTAGTTCAATCCTGTTGTCACTTTGCCATTGCAAACGAGGGATTCCTAGTTTGTTCCATAGTACATTCAGCTCTTGGCATGACCTTCATTCTCTTGTTTTGATTGCAGCACTATTGCTGGGTCCTGATGCCTTCTTTTAGAGTAGATGCAGGTAGAAATCCCAAACATGAGGACCCCCAAACCTACCGTTTGCTTCCAGAACAGTTTTTCCTCATGTGCTTCCAGAAGTGAAATGATAGGTAAGCTGTTGTGTCAAGTGAGCAACAGGGGGGGGAAAAATACAAGTTTAAAAAGCTGACTTGCTGTTTGAGGAACCATACTGCCAGGTAAGACCTTACCTGGGCTATAAAATCATATCCTCCAGGATGGACAGGACAGTTCTTCCTTTTGGTGCAAAACGGGTTCCTCCATAACTTGTAACTCCTTGACCATGCAAGAGACTTTTTAATATCTCTCATAACACGTAGCTGGTGCTGTGAAGCACCTCTTAAACTCTGTCACCTCAGCAGCAGCAGAGCTGAGCTAGAGCTGGAGAACAAGGAAGCAGCTCTGAGGTGGAACACCCGCTGGTCTGCTGGCACTGTGTGGCTTCTTGAGGTCAGCAGGAGAACTGCCCCTGTAGACCTGCTTTCCCTGACTTCCCTGCTGAGGGGGCTGAGTACCCTTCTACGGGTCTGGTTATCACCGCGACTTACGTACTTGAATGCTCCTCTAAGTCCTCGCCAAAGTAATGGAAATCCTGGAAAACCTAACTGTAGAGATGGAAAGTGGGTTCTGCTGCAGGTCAATGAGAATTCACTTGGCTTTTGCCGTCTTCTTGAAAACGATCACAAAAATCTTGCCTGTCTTAAAAAATCTCAAACTACACTTCAGCAGCTCAATGCCAGCCTTCAATCTTTCTCCAAAGGAAGCAGCAAGTAAAAGAGACAGTTCCATGTCATTTATAGGACAAAGAAAACAAAAATTATCATCTTTCCCATTTTCAGTAACATTACAAGTGGATGAACTGTACAGAATAACATGAATACACCGTAGAGAAGGTTTTTATTTTAAAATGCCTATCTATCTAATGTTTTTTAAAAAAACTAAGCCTTATTCACATCAAGAACAAATGTTAATTTAACCCCAAGGTGATTACAGCAAAGCTTTCCCTGCCTCAGGCAACTAAAAATTTTAGTGATAAACAACACTACATAAACCACAGTTCCAAACAAACCTCTTGTTCAACTAAAAGCCTTTTAAATTAAAAATTCTGTATGGTAGACATGCAGGCCCCTTGCCTACTGGAAATGTAGCAACCCTAGTTACATGCCAGTGGCACTTCAAGCCACTGAGGGTTAGACTGTGTTTGTGTATGCTTTTCAGCACTGCTTTGAGGCAGGTTTTCAGAGCCCCTACTGTCAGAGGTGTAACAGGTGTGCTGCTTTGTTCAAAGGTGGTCTTGTATATGGAGAAAACAACGTCCAGCTGGATAGGAAGAAGCCCAGTCAGGTTTGGGTATTAAAAGAAACAAGTTCTTTTAAAACGATTCTCTTGTAATATGTTAATTAACTTAAGGATGTTGATTGGTATCTTACCAGTGCCAAGTTAAAGCCATTCATTCAACTGGAGTACAATGTTTCACTGTACATTTTATACTGTTACAATATATGCTTTTGAATAATCTGTATTAAATACCTGATTAACTTAATCTTGACTACATAGCTGTTTACAGATTAGGTCCTAAAAAATGGCCCTTTTACTCTGAATGTGGGTAAATATATTGGTGTTTAAACACACCATTATTTGCAAAAAAAACCCCCCAACCCTTAATAGCCCAAGTTTCATTTTCTTAAATTGCTGTTTGTGTCTGTCTGCTCCCAAGCTGTCTCAGTGGAGGCCTGTTCATACTTGCAAAGATTGCTCCAAGCACAGGTGTCATTCTCGAGGACA